TAATGGTAAGCATACATACACTCAAAGACAGTTACACTCTCCCTGTTGCAATTGTAATTAAAATTTAAAAAAATGTTATTAATTGGAAAATATTAGAATAAGTATAGTTTTGATTTTATTAACTTGAAGGGTGCAAAAAAATTCGATTACCCTTTTAAGTAGGCAACCTGATAATAGATTATTCTTATAAAAACAGCCCGTTGTAGATAACATATCTATATATACATATCACATATCACACATCTTCATAATACATATATGTAGTTATACAAATTTGTGATACAAAATATTATCGTTTTTAATTTTTTAAATATTTTCTGTCGTTTAAATTTAGTTTTATCTTGATAACTTAAGTTATTAAATTAGTTCTCACAACTATTCTAGATTAGAAAGTCATATTATTTAAAAGATATAATATCTTAATGATATGGTTCTAACATTTTTAAGATGATATTGTATTGCACAGATTACAGATATTTTTACATATAATCTGACGTATTCACTTAATTTTAACATTAATCATAGATCAATATAGTTGAGATATAGTTTCCAAAATGGAGCACCTTTAACCCACTGTGCCTCATGTCCGTTGCGGCTGTTCGCCCACATGACCACCACCACCCCCTTAAGCACATCCCCTTAAAATACCCCCCCCATACTCTAAAATATCCAAGCGCCAATTTAAATTTAATATCGACGCATGGGCAATCCACCACCGACACACGCAGGATACTCGCAGGACATTGCTGCTCCTTCGGCTCCTTCTCGCCTCTCGTAAATCTATTTGGCACATTCATGCATAAAGTATTTAGTATCTTTGAGATACCTTTTTAACCGCATGGCAACTACACAAGTGAGGGGCAGGGGCAGGGGGAGGGGGCGTTAAAAGGGGGGTGGCTATGAGTTGGGGGATTGGCAGGCGTCAAATTCATATGGCAGCCAACCAAAATGCGCGGACACTGGGGGAAAATCGGGAAAAGGGGGTGGGTACGTGGGCCCAGCGGCCGACACTTTCACTTGCAAATGTCTGTGTTTGTGTCCTTGCGAGTGCGATTGTGTGCGTGAGTGTGTGTGAGTGTGAGTGAGTGTGTGTGAGCTTTCGAGCCCAAATAAATTAATTTCAAATGTAAACTCGGAGAGGACAACAAATACAATTTCAACTGAAGACACGCACGTATGTACAAATAAATTCAAAGTAGAGTTTTGAAATTTGGAAAGGGACTGACTTTGCTTTTGGATTAAAAGCTTATAAACAGTGCGGATAATAAGATCAGTTTTTAAAACTATATAGGAAACAAGTGCATTTTTATCACATTTTTAAAAACTAGTTTTTTTGGTGTTTGATTTAGTTGCATTGTGGAGTAGAAAGTTATTTGAAAGATATATAAGGGTTTTGCTAAAAACCTATAAACTTATGTTTAAGATAGTTTATGGAATAGAAAGTTATTTACATACATATATGGCTTATGAATTTTCGAGATATTGGTTTAATACGAATCGAATTCGATGGTAAATGGCATATATATAAAATTATGATAAAGATAGGTTATGGAATAGAACTCTTTATATGGTTAAGGAACTTTTGTGAATTTTGTTTAATACTAATCAAATTCTATGGTACATCATCATTATATTATTAAGCTGTGCCGTTGTGTAATCGAGAAGAAAGTGGAAATTGTAGAGTCATGTGGATTTCCATTTCCCCAACCCCCTTGGCGGATTACTGGCCAAAACTCCACCTTGCTGTGGAGCTTATGTGCCCGCCTTTAAGCGTAGTTTCGTAATGGCCAGGACACTTTCTCCACCCCCCTTTCTTCTCCCCCACCCCTGGAAACACACACACGCGCACCACTCGCAAAGGGATAATTTACGAAATTTGAATCTTAGAAATTGTTAAAAGCATTCCTCTTTCTCCAGCCGCATTTTCCCTCTTCCTTTCACTTTCACTTCCACTTTCCACTTCCCTTTCTAGAGAAAGGAAACGCATGTGTGTGTGTGTATCCGCATGTATTTCAAAATTGCAAAATGTCTACCGTGGACATTCAAAGTCAGCATCGCCAGCGTCCGCCAAGGCAAATTCACCCCCCACCCCCCATTTCCACACACAGTACACTGTGAGAAACTCATGCGGTTTCGTGTGAACTAAAAATCTTCGTAGGCCTAATAGACAAGTTTCAAAAAACTTAGCCAACGCTCTAATAGGTAAACATTTTCAAAGTGATTTTCTAACAATATTTAAAATAGTTAGAGATTTCTTTTATAGCATACATGTGTTATAATGAATAAAATTAATACGACTTAAAACTGTACTTTAGAAAAATATTAAACAATCATTTAGAGGACAACATTTTGTTTATAATAGGGAAGGAAATAAATTTGTTAAGATTTTTTAGTAGTTCCTAATTTTTAAAACTTTTTTAATAGGTTTGGCAGCATAAGTAATATTTTATTGGTTTCTATACTTTGTTTTATTATTAAAAAATCTGGACTACAACTTATAGCTGTAATAGATCTTAAATTTCCAAAGCTAAAGTGTGCTTAAAAATACTTGGTACTTTTAATCGTAATATAGTTGCTTATAAAATACCATAGAACGGTTATTATCTTAAGTATTTATTTATTTCTAATATAGGGGTATTCCATTTCTGTTTTTTAAAATACTTGGTACTTTCAATAGCAACTTATTTGCTTATAAACGTAATACCATATTATCATTACAATCACCTTTTTATTTTTAGGGGTATTTGTTTTTCTGCCAGTGTACTAATCTGCCTGTCTCTCTCCAACTTCGCAACTTCGGCCCATACATCTTGGCTCGACGTCCTTGCCCCAAACTCATTTGTACATCGCAGTCCCCCTGCCCCTTGAAATCCGACTGACTGACACAGCTCGCCCCCCTGCCCCCAACATCGCCGCCCCTGGGCTGTCACCCCCTGTCCAATACACTAGATATGTATACGTAACGGACAGTCAAATTGGGGGTGGTGGGTGGTGGGCGGCATGCGTATGGGGGAAGGGTTGGGGGTAGTGGCTGCCTTTGGATTTTGGACTTGAAAGTAGCGCGATAGACGAACACATTTGGTTTCGTGTGCGTCTGTGCACAGACTCCCCCTCCCCCTCCCCCTCCCCCCTCTCATCCTTTTTGGCCAACTGCTTCCTGAACTGTTTTAAATGTGTGACAGCCGACAACAAACCCCTCCGCCGCCCCCTTTCCCCTGGCACCATAAGCGATTCGTGGGGGTGATGGGTCCTTCCTGCCTCATCTAAGCACTGAGAAAAATGTATTTTATATAAAAACATATTTGGTAATTTTACATATAATTTTAAACTTAAAAACAAGGTATCCTATCCTACAATACATCATTTTTGAAATGAAATTAAGAAGAATTTTTTTTTTATCTTAAAAAAAACATTATGTTTTGAGTTATGGTAGTATCTGTAACTTTCGATTGTTACGAGGGTAGCAACGATTTTTTATAAATAAATATTTTATTCTAAAATTAAAATAAAATATTGCAAGACTTTAAACATGAGATTTATTAAATTAAATAATATGCATTTAAAAATTCATAAGGTAGTCAAAGGATTGAAACTCAACCTACATATGTTGTAAAAATATTTTTACGAACTTTCCATCTAATATAAAAATGTGTAATTTTGTGATAAAATATTCCCTTTTTTATAAAATAGATTTTTGGAATTCAAATTAAAAATGAACATTTTACATCGCCTTGTCCTTTTTTTTCCCAGTGCCCTCCTGTTGTCCTAGCTGTTTTTGCTTGCCCAGTTTTCGAAAATGTAAACTCATCATAAGTGAACCAGCATCAGCATGTGTGTGTGTGTGTGTGTGTGTTGTCCAAAAGGAGCCAACGCAGACATCGTTGACTTTGTTGTTGCTGTAGGGGGGGGGGAGGTGGGTAAAAGTGGGTGGTAGTGGGTGGCAGTGGGCGGACATTGTGCGTGGCAAGTGTTGTGAATGGACATGCCACTCCAAAGGCAGATGAGAATGAGAAAGTGGGAGTGAATTGGGGGTGGGGCTGCTGAAAATCAGGGGGGGGGGGGTTAGGAATGGGGTAGTGGGAAAACGAACGAATTTTACAATTTTCCTTTCCTGCTGCTCACTGTGTGTACACATGGGTGTACACATAAATATATGTATGCAAATGGCGAGGGTTGTCGCAATAGTTGTGTCACTATGTAAAAGAAAGAACGTGGTTAAAAATGTTCTCACAAAATATAGTTTTTGATTACCTACTTGCTGAGAACTACCTTTTCCCCTTTTTCACCCAAAAGAGTCAGTTTTTTTGATGGTATAATAGAAATAAGGGTCCATATGAGGAATGCTATACCTCGTAGTTTAATTTCCAATCCATTGGCATGCAAACCTAGAAATTTTTAATTTTTGCCACTTTTCAAAAAAAAAGACGATGCACTCCCTTACAAAAAATGCGAAAATTGGTTAAAAAATAAATTTTTCTTAAAATGGTTGGAATCGTTAGCAAATTTAGCAAGCTGTTCAAAACAGTCGGTCTCTTAGCTGTACGCCTTGATTTGGCCAAACTACGATTGAAAAACTGGAAAGAAAAATCGCAATTTTGACTAAAATTTGAATATCGTATTTTTGACAAAATCTGAATCCCATTTTTTCGCCCTAAAAAAGCAGTTTTTTGGCTGCTATAAAGAAAATAAGCGTCTGATCGAGGAATGTCATACCTCGTTGAGCTCGTTGCTTAATTTCCAATCCATTGGCATCCAAATCTGGACATTTTTAATTTTTGCCATTTCTTGCAAAAATTGGTGATGTAACCCCTTACAAAAAATGCGAAAATGGGTCAAAAATTAAATTTTTCTTAAATTGATAGGGATTGTTAGCATACCTAGCAAGCTGTTCAAAACAGTCGGTCTTTTAGCTGTACTCCTTGATTTGGCTAAACTGCGATTGAAAAACCGGATAGGAATCATTATTTTTGAAAAAAATCTGAATACTTTATTTTCCGCCCAAAAATGCCGTTTTTGGCTCGAATTGAAGTGCTTTACATGGCTTAAGCTGCAAGGGTTTCGGACTTCGGGCTTGGGATTTATATGTAAACCGTTTTTGCAGCCGGTTGATCAGATAAAAGATAACAGATAACTAAAATTAGGCTTACAAAACATCATGTCTTAAATATTTTGCGCTTCAAATTTTGACATATTAATATGGCTCAAATTTAAGTGTCTCTTATCCAGTTCTCACAATCCTGAAAAGGTTGTAGGTATTATTGATTGAGTAAAGCTTTACATTTAGATAACTTTACCAAAGTGGCTTCTCAAATTGTTCGCGCTGGCTTCCACGCAGACGGCACCAAAAACGAGTTGCCTTTTTCAATAGATCATCTGCCGCCAAATCTTTGTTCTTCCTCTGAAACTTGCGAATGAAATGAATATAGGCTACGGCGGAGCCCAAGCGATTTGTGTCAAGAGTCTTTGGCACAGGACTGGGATTCTTCTTGATTGATTTGGATGGCTTCCTTTCCTTCTGGTTCCTGGAATCCCTCTCACTGGCAAAAGGAGAGCGAACTGGACTGCGTTTCTCCCGCTCAGATTTGCCGGGGTTTTCCCCATAGGACTGATTCTCAAACTCCTGAGGTGCACTTTTTGCACCCTTTTGCACACGTTTGTTTAAAATTGTTAGATATCAGTTATGACTAAGATATTTCCTATGCTTACCATATTTTTAAAGAAATCCTTTTCCTTGAGGGTCAACTGATTCCACTGCTTGGCTCCGAAACGTACCATGTCATTTGGGGAAACTCCGCAGAACGTCTTTTTGTTGTAAATTGGTTTTTGAAGTGCCTTTCTACGCTTTGTTCTGTCCATAGTTTATTTTTTTTTTAAGCTACAATTTGGCTCTAATACGATACTGTCGATACTGAATAATGAATGCGAGTACTGATTCTGATTGAGAAGCTGTTCTCCCAGCTACCTACGATATTTTTTTAAACCAAAAAAGGCTTCTGCGAAATTGTTTACTAAGCATCTATGATCCAAACTATTTAGTACATAGTAGACTCTTACTTAACCTGTGAGTTTCGAACATAGTAGGCAGTTGCTTTTAACTTCTAGCTGAAATTTGGACATCAGTTCAATCGTCTTCGCACAGTCAAGTCGTGAACTTCTCTAAAATCATTTTAATAGATAATAGGCAAAGTTCAGCATTTTTTTAAATTTTAATATGATCCTGATAATATTTTTCGTTGCCGTGCCCGTCCTGACGGCTCTCTTTCATCTTTGGATTCAGCCGTCGAGTCTCGAGGAGTTTTTTGAAGCTATCCGGGAGGACTGGCAATATTGACTAGATCAAGAAAGAATTAGATGAATATATCTAGGAATGACTGGAAGTGAGCCGATTCTTGGAGACAGCCCCCACCCAACCAGCTACATCACATATTGTATACTAAGTAAAAATATTACAAAAACTACTATTTAAGGAGGAAAAATAAGTTATATCAGATTTGTTAAAATGTTTTAATTTTAATGCCATGCGCAACGTCATGTTTATGCAAAGTCTACATAGTTTGCAAAAAATGTGACCTAAGCATGATAATGCAAAGCATACACACACAGCATACACCTTATATAGGACGGCATAATACTAATATTTCAAATTTATTTCCATATATCTTAATGAAATACAAAAAATGAAAAATTTTGTCAAAAAATAAATCTTCCTTAAAATGATGGGGATCGATAGGAATTGAAGGAAGCTGCTCAAAACAGTCGGTTTTTTTGCTGTACGCCTTGATTTGGCTAAACTACGGCTGAAAAACGGGAAAGAAAAATCGAATTTTTGACTAAAAAGTGAATCTCGTTATTTTGACCAAAACCGTATTCCCATTTTTTCACCCTAAAAATTTAGTTTTTTGGCTGCTATAACAAAACTAGTCGTCAGATCGAAGAATGCCATACCTCGTTGAACTCGTTGTTTAATTTCCAATCCATTGGCATCCAAACCTGGGAATTTTTTATTTTTGACATTTTTACAAAAAATGCGAAAACTGGTCAAAAAATAAATTTTTCTTAAAGTGATTGGAATCGTTAGCATATTAAGCAAGCTGTTCAAAACAGTCGGTCTTTTAGCTGTACGCCTTGATTTGGCTAAACTATAATTAAAAAACTGGAAAGAAAATCGCAATATTGACTAAAATTGAATATCGTATTTTTGACAAAATCTGAATCCCCTTTTTTTGCCCTAAAAAATTTGTTTTTTGGCTTAAAAACTGCCAAAACAAATGGTGTTCTTGCCTAAAATCGAAATATTTTTTTTTTGCCCAAAAAATCCGTGATTACCTGTCGTATAAGTTATATTTTTTAGGTTTCTTTCTAATTTAATTTTTCTAAACTTAAAAACATCAAATAAATGTGTATTGTAAACTTAAAAAATGTTCTTCCTTGGTATTATGGTTCAAAAAAAATGTTTTTATACTTTGTTTTAAACTATTTGGAGGCTGTTTTCATCAGTCATATAAAACACATATGGAAAGTGAGTGGGTGAAAGTGGTTGTGTGTCCAAATGCACGTGGTGCGGCATCGTTTTCGTCGTCTGGTCTGGCATCAAAGCCAACCACCGGCCACAGCTTTCGTCCTTCGTCCTGCGTCCTTCTTCGCCTTCAGCTGCTGCTTTTGCGTAATTTTCGAGATTATTTCGCACACACACACACACACGCATAGGGGGGTTTTGTGGGAGGTGGGTGGGGAGGGGTAGGGGGAGGACCATGGACACACAGCCATGCATAATGATGTTGGCTTGTCCTGGACAGCAGCAGGCGCCCACTGGATGGGTGGTTGGGTGGTTGGGTGGTTGGGTGGCTGGGTGGTCTTGTCGTAGTTATTGCTTGCGGGCATTCATTTTAATTTTAAAACAACAGCAGAACGAGCCAAGGCCTAGAACACACAGTGCTTACAAATGGCAATCAATTTCAGACGCACACACACACACACCCACACTCCTAGAACTTTACACCCACACACACACACCAACACACACACATGGTTACAAGGGTTGTGCGAAGCACTCACATTGCCATCTTGTTGCGAACATCTCTGTAAAATTCGCAGGAGCGAGGCGGTCAAACGAGCAGCGGCGAATGGAAAATGGCAAATGGTTAAATGGAAATTGGCAGTTGGGCGAAAGAAGAATTTCTTATTCCCTGCTGCGAAGAAAGCCCCAAATGCACTATAAATAGAGAAATTGGAATGATCTTAAAAAGATAACAGAAGGGAAGAATAGGGAAATATTTATAGGAAATACAAAAGCAGATCCTTTGTTAAAATCAATCCATATAAATAATCTTTCTTATTTATTTTATTTATTTATTATTATAACCTCTCAAACCCTAAATAGTAGTTTTAGGACCACTACGTATGTATAATATCGGATCTCTCTCTAAGGAGAAAGATAATTATATTTGTACTTTGAGACGATATATCTTATAATATTGGTTTCTTTGTTAACCTTATTATAAGTAATTTTGTTTTTACTATTGGAAATTAAAAAAACAGGGATCAAAAATAGACGTTCTTATAAGATATCAAACACCAATGAGGAATTGTAGTTATAGATATTTGTTTTAAGGGAAAGAAACTTTTTAAATCATAATTGTTATTGTTAAATCATATGCCCATGGGGTTTGTAAATCATAAAACTCTTAAATAATCTATATTCTTCTTACTTAAACCACTGTTAAAAGATCCAAAAATGCAGGCAGATCTATAAGAATAGCATACAAAAGATGAAGTTACTTCAGTGATGCTTTCGTTTTGACTAGGAAATATTTCATGCAAGATATTTATGCCACAATTCCGCATAGAATCCGATTAAGGCATCAAATGGCTTAAGTTGCGACCATCAAGTATAAACGATTGCATTGGCCCTTGTGGGCTGCCTAATCATTCTCTTCTTTTTAGACGTTTTTTGTCTGGTTTTAGGATTGGGTTTCGGTTTAATAGAGATAGAGATAGAACCCAGCTTGACCTGCAAACGCCGCAGCTGGAGTGGGCACCATTCATCAGCGGCCAACGATATTCGGATGGTCGAAATGGAAATGTACCCCTAATCCCATTCACTCCTGCTTTCTACTTTCTACTGCTTTCTTCTGCTTTCCCCAACTGCGACTTAACTCCTTTGGATGCTGGATGCTTTCAGTGTCATTAGTTTTGAATAAGCCATAAATTAAAGATTAAAATATATGTCCGTGCATATAAATATATTTGCATGGGTAGGTGTGTGTGTGTGTGTGTGTGTGTGTATATGGACAGTGGAGTCCTTCTTACATGGCTACCCCCTTTTTTGGTAATGGGGGGTTTGCTAACTGGCAGTGGGAAGGGGGCAAGTTAAAGTGAAAGTGAAAGGGAAACATAAGTCCAACAATGGCCCAAAGGCTGCCTAACGACATTGCCAGGGGTGGAGTGTGAGGGGGGGTTTGGCTGTGTGAGGGGGGGGGGGGGCAGAACAATGACGAAGGCGCTTTAAGCAGCCCCCCCTCCACGCACACACACGTGGACCAACCCCAAAAAGCATTACAAATTTGCATATGTGTGTCCGTGTCCATGTCCATGTTTGGTGTCCCTGTGTGCGTGTGCCAAAAACTGCTGGCGTAGGTAAATTAGTTGCTCTATGAATGTGCCAAAGTGTGTCTGTGTGTGTGTGCGAAGGTGGTGTGCACTGTTATCGAACACTCTCATATCCCCCACAATCTCCTCCTTCACTGAAAAAAATAAAGGTTTAACAGCTAACAAGAGAAGAGGATCTCTTTTTATAGAGAGGATATTATATAACATATCTTGAAGAATGTATTTTATTTCATTGACTAACCTAACTTAAGAACTTTCAAAACGAGGTTTTAGAGTATTATAAATATTGGTATAGGTATCTTATATCCTTAAAACATATTATTATTGTATCGTTCGAGATAATAATATATATTATTTTTTAACTATTGTAACATATTGTCTTTCTAGTTTATCAAAATCGCCTGATCTATAGATCCTATCCTATCCTATCGTATCCTATTCTATCCTATCCTATAGCTATCATTTTAATACGAGCTTTTGAAAAACATTTTTTGTTTCTTAAAGCGGTTTCAGATTAGTGAAAACTATTTTTTCTAAGATTCTTAAGAGGTGATGTTAACCAAAAACAATTTAAGTAAAACACAAAAAAGAATATAATCCCTTACTTTTTATTTGATTATTAATAATTTGATATTAATAATAATGGAATACATCCCATATCTGGCTACAATTTTTGTATAGATTCTAAAAAAAATTTCTTTTACTTATTGATACGATTTTTCTCTCAGTGATTTCATCTGCAGTAGGAATGTTCCTTTAAAACCGTAAGTTTATGCGTGTGTCTGTGTGTGCTGAGTGGTTTGGGGTGGCGAAATGGGGGAAGGGGGGTGGTAAAGGGGGCGAGCAGCTTGGGCAGTTGTTGGCCAAGCACACACACACACATGGACACGCACACTTACGCAAACAGGCTCACCCACACATAGGCAAGTTGAAATGCTCATCTGACGCATGCCCAACAAAGTATGCAACACAATTGGGCTAACTATGTTGCCTCCTGATTTATTGGGGGTGTGGTTGGGGGTAAAGGGTTAGATTTTTGGGGAAATCATGTTGTTGTTTGTGTGAGCTTGTAAGTGTGTGTTTGCAAGTGTGTGTGTGACAAACAATGGCCAGGAGGAACATGGAGCAACCCTTACAACTTACAATCTACAACCTACAACCTA